TTTTTGGGGCCGTGCTGGGGTGCTGGGGACAGCGTGGCTGCCGGCAATGGAAGGGGCCGGCCGTCTCCTCCCGCTGCGGCGTCACGAGGCCGGTCCCGTGGAGCGCCCGATGGATCAGGAGATGCTGGATGGGGCCGGAGGGCTCCTGCACAGCTGGCTGAGCCGGCGCTGCCCCCAGGCAGGTCTGGCCAGGCCAAGGTCACCCTCAGTGCGCCGAGCAGGACGTGCAGAGCAGGAGCAGAGTGCAGGGGGAAAAGGGGACGTGCCAGAGCGGAGGGTCCCCCAAGGCTGGGGGTCAGCGTCACCGGTGGGCAGTGGCCACCACAAGGGGACGGTGACCACAAGAGGACGGTGACCACAGGCCAGGAATGGTGACCATCCCTGGAGGCAGATGGCTGTCACTGATAGAGAGTGACTGTCACTAAGGGAGGGTGTGACCATCGCCCCCAGCCCCTCCTGGCACAGGTTTGGTGACCCCCACACCCACCCACCCCGGGTGCCACCGCCCAGCCAAAGCCCCTTTGGTGCCTCCTGTCCTGACCGGTGGCCCCGGTGGCTCTGGGGGTCACACGGGGCTGGGGGAGCAGGGGAAGAGCCGGAGCAGTGTGTCAGCGACACGTGAGGACGCTAAAATTAGGCGGCTCCAGCTAATCTAATTTAATCTCCCCTTTTCCGCCCGCCGCTGGGGATTAGCCCCGGCAGAGGGGCGGGCGGCCGGGCTGGGGGGCGGCCCAGCCTGACCCCCGCGGATCCCCCTGGCAATTGTGGGGTGAGGTGTCCGTGTGGGTGACGGGGACTTGGGGAGGGCTGAAGCGGCACCAGCACCATGGGATCTGCAGAGGGATGGACGGAAGGATGGATGGAAGGATGGATGCCCAGCACCTCCAGGGCAGGCAGGGCACAACCCTCACCTCCCTGTCCCTTCATGGGGCAGCTGGGGCTGGGGAAAGGCTTGGAAAGGCTTGGAAAGGCTGGGAGAGGCCGGGAGAGGCCGTTCCACCCGGGGTCACGCGCTCGCCCGCCCGTCCTGCGGCCGCCCGAGGAAGGCAGGAAAGTTCTCCGACCGGTTTTGCGCTGCCGGCCCCGCGCGGCGCTGGGGCCGGCCCGGCTCCCGGCGAGGTTTCCGGTGCGCCGGTGACGGGGGCCAAGTCACGGGCTGGTCACCGGTGCCGCAGCGGCTTTGTGGGGCCGTGGGCGGCCAATGGAACCTCGATGGCAGGTATGTGGAGCAGCGCTGCAGCCCCGGTGAATCACGAGGCAGGTGATGCCCGATGAGCTCACGCCTCTCCTGGAGCAGCTCCAGGCCCAGCCCAGCCGCCCCGTGACGGTTCCCCGTTCCTCTGGAGCCTCCCGTGCCTCAGTTTCCCCGGCGTGGCAGTGGGTTACGGGTTCCTGAGGGGGTCCCCGGGAGCGGCAGCACGCCGTGGGACGGGGGCTTGGCTGGGGCCGGGGCTCCAGGCTGCTCTGGCCCTGCTCTGGCCGCCGGGCACGGCTCTTCCTCCCGCTCCACGCTGTCATTACCGCGCCACTCGTCCTTGAGGAATCACATTTGAGAAATTAGAGCCGGTTCCAGCTCCAATCCCTGCAATCAGCCGCTTCCTTTAGCCCAGGAACGCGGCGTTAAATGCCGATGGATTATTACAGGAGCTGGGGTGCCTCGAAAGGGTTCCCATTGGGAGCTTTATTCCAAGAAAGGAATTCCAAAACCAACTGAAAAACCTCAAATTTAAAAAAAAAAATTACTTTATTTAGAGGAGCTGGTTGAGCAGAACCCAGCTCCTCCTGTCCTTTCCTTGACTAGGGCGTTATCTGGGGAATCAACGGGGTGTTGGGGATTATTTTCCCTGAATAAACTGATTTTACGGGACAGAAGGATGAGACAGGTCCCTCATTTTGCACAGACAGTCCCTCCCTTCATCCAGCCAGGCTGGCAGCAGATGGGGAAGGCGGACAGATGTGTCCAGCTATTTTTAGGCTCAAACGCGGCTTTAATTTCAACATGACCACGGAGAATTTGCCTTTTCAGGGGTAAAAAAAAAAAAAAAAAAAAAAGCTGGATCAGAGGGTGAATTGAAATGTAGGGCCAGCGACAGAGATTAATGGAATATCCTGGGTTGGAAGAGATCCACAAGGATCATTGAGTGCAAATGCTGAAACGCACCAGGTCGCGATCCGGGGGTTGGACTGACGGATGCGTGGTGGCTCCGGCAGGACTGGATCCTGCAGGAAAAGGTGTCTGGCAGCAGCATCGCCTCGCCTCCGGCTCGGGCCGCCTCTCCCCCTGTTTCCTTTGAAAAAAGCAGCAGCAATTCCCTGAGCAGAAACACCAAAACGATGTAAATGGCCGGGGAAAGGGCTGCGGAGAGGGGGAAGCGCCGGAGGTGCCCGGGCCGGGTTGGGAAAGCGGCGGGAGCGGGCAGACGGGTTGGGTAACGCCGCCCCGGGGCTGCTGCGACCGGCTCTGCCGGCAGCGGCGAGCGGAGCCGCTCCGGAGCGCCAGGACGTGCCGCGGCCCTCGTACGGCTCGGGGCCACCGGCGGGCCGGGGAACCCGGGATGGGGCCGGGAGGGGCCGGCATGGAGCGGGGATGGGGCCGGGATGGAGCAAGGATAGAACAGGGGTGGAGCCAGGGATGGAGCAGGGATGGAGCCGGGATGGGGCTGGGATGGAGCAGGGATAGAGTTGAGGAGAAAGGCAGGATGGAGCAGGGATGGAGCAGAGAACGAGCAGAGATGAAGCAGAGATGGAGCCAGGGATGGAGCTGGGATAGAACAGGGATGGAGCAGGAATGGACAGGGATGGAGCCAGGGATGGAGCAGGGATAGAGCAGAGATGGAGCAGGGATGGAGCAGAGATGGAGCTGTGATGGAGCCGAGGAGGAAGGCGGGATGGAGCAGGGATGGAGCAGAGGAGGAGGCGAAGGAGGAGGCCGGGACTGAGCTGGGATGGAGCCGGGATGCAGGCGAGGAGGAAGGCAGGATGGAGCCGGGATGGAGCAGGGATGGAGCAGGGACGGAGCAGGGATGGTGCAGGGACGGAGCAGGGATGGAGCAGGGACGGAGCAGGGTTGGGGCCAGGATGGAGCCGAGGAGGAAGGCAGGATGGAGCAGGGATGGAGGCGGGACGGAGCTGGCATGGTGCAGGCAGAGCCCAGCCGCGGGGACCCTCCCGAGCGACCCTTGCAGAGGTTTTGGGGTGCAGGGGGCAGCCCCGCCGTCCGTGGCCACGCACGGGGAGCGGAACACGCGGGCGGAGCGGCGGCGCCACGGGCCGCGGGCTGATGGATGCGACCTGACGGGTGCACAGGGCCCAGCACGTTCACACGCATGTGACAGGGACAGCCACAGCGCCGGGCACACCGGGCGGGGCGGCGGCGGGCACGGGCTGCGGGGACACGGGCATGGACACACGGACACGGACAGGGACACACGGACACAGACAGGGACACACGGACAGGGACACATGGACACGGACAGGGACACACGGACACAGGCACAGGCTGCGGGGACACAGGCATGGACACCCGGACACGGACAGGGACACACGGACACGGACACATGGACACGGACAGGGACACACGGACAAACACACTGACTGCAGGGACAGACACAGACACACGGACACAGACAGGGACACACGGACAGAGCGACGGACACACATACGGGCTGTGGGGATGGACACGGACACACAGACACAGACACGGACACAGACACGGACACAGACACGGACACACACGGACTGTGGGCATGGACAGACACACGGACACACAGACACAGACACGAGCTGCAGGCATAGCCACGGACACAGCCATGGACACACAGACACAGACAGGGACACACGGACACAGTCATGGACACACACACGAGCTGCGGCACACGCGTGATACACCCCAAATCCAGCCCCCCACTGCACACCCTCTCTGCACCCCCCAGTGCTCCCCCATCCTCCCAATGCACTCCCCGGCACACCCCCAGCCTCCAGTGTCCCCCAGTGTAACCCCCGGGGCACCTGCAGCCCCCCAGTGCGCCCCCCGTGCAGCTCCCCAGTACAAACCAGTGCCCCCCAGTGCCCCCCCAGTTCACCCTTCCACTGCACCCGCACCCCAGTGCACCGCCCAGTGCACGCCCAGTGCACTCCCAGTCCATTCCCAGTGCCCTCCCAATGCACCCCCAGTATCACTTCAATGCACCCCCATTGTTGTCCCGGTGTCTCCTCCCAATATGACCCCATTGTCCCCCCCATTCTCCCCCCAATATCACCCCAAAACACTCCCCAGTGTCCCCCCAGTATGACCCCAATGTCCCTCCTAGTGTCCCCCCATTATCCCCCCATTGATCCCCCGGTGTCCCCCCAGTATCACCCCATTGTCCCCCCCCCCCCGTGTCCCCCCATTAACTCCTCACTGATCCCCCATTGTCCCCCCGTTGTCCCCCCCCGGTGCCCTCCCCAGCATCACCCCAATGTCCCCCCGTGTCCCCCCATTATCTCCTCACTGATGCCCCATTGTCCCCCCGTTGTCCCCCCCGGTGCCCTCCCCAATATCACCCCAATGATCCCCCGTGTCCCCCCATTAACTCCTCACTGATCCCCCGTTGTCCCCCCATTGTCCCCCGTTGTCCCCCCGTTGTCCCCCCATTGTCCCCCCATTGTCCCCCCGTTGTCCCCCGTTGTCCCCCCATTGTCCCCCCATTGTCCCCCCGTTGTCCCCCGTTGTCCCCCCGTTGTCCCCCCATTGTCCTCCCGTTGTCCCCCCGTTGTCCCCCCGGTGCCCCCTCACCCCCCCCGGCCGGTGCCAGGCCCCGCCCCCCCGCGCGCGCCGGGCACACACCCTCGCCTTTGGGCCAATGGGGGCGCGGCGGCGCTGCCACGTCACGGGCGCGGGGGAAGCTCCTCAATGAGCGCGATTGGCGCGGGGAGCGCGCGGCGCTGCCGGGGCCGCTCCGCTCCCACCGCTCCGAGCCGAGCCGAGCCGAGCCGAGCCGAGCCGAGCCGCTCCCGCCATGATCGCATCGCACCTCCTCGCTTACTTCTTCACCGAGCTCAACCATGACCAGGCGCAGAAGGTGAGGGGGGTCCCGCGGGGAGCGGGAAGAGTGGAGAGGGGAGAGAGGTGAAAAGGGGAAAGTGAAGAGGAAAAGGGGGGGGAAAAAAGCGGCGGGGAAGAAGAGAAAATGGGGGGAGAGGAAAAGGGAAGAAAAAGAAAGGAGGAGTAAAAGCAAAAACAACAAAAAAAGGAGGGGTAAAAGTAAAAACAAAAAAAAAAGGAGGGAAAAGAAGGGGAGAGTGAAGAGGGAGAAAGAAGAGAGAAAGAAAAGGGAAGGAAAGTGAAAAGGGGAATAAGTAGGGAAGGAAAAAGGATGAGGAAAAAAAGTTGAAAAAATAAAGTAAAAGGAAGGAGAAAAAAAAGGAAAAAGCAGAAAAGGGATAAAGGAGAGGAGAGGAGTAAAAAGAGCAAAAAGAAAGGGGGAAAGCGGGAAAAAAAAAAGAAAGGAAGGGGAAATGGACCAAAAAAAAAAAAACCCAAAACCCAAAAACAAAAAAAGGAGAAGAAAACCCAAGAAACTTTTTAAAAGGGAAGAGCAGGCGGGAGGAGCGGGCAGCGGAGGGAAGCGGGGCCGGGCGGGCGGAGGCCCCGGCGCTCGCTGCCCGGCCGCGGCCGCGTGCGGTACGTGCCGCGGGACCCCGCGTGGCCGGGCGGCGAGGGGGAGGAGGAGGAGGAGGAAGGGGAGGAAGGGGGGGATCGGGGGCATCTCCGCGCCTGTGCTGCCCGCCGCTGCCGGGACCCCGCGCCCCACGTGTCCGCCGCCCTTCCCGCCGGCGCCGAGCATCCATCCCCGGCAGCCGGGGCACCGGGCCGGGACACCGGGACACCGGGACACCCAACCGGGGCACCCAACCGGGGCACCCACCGAGCCCCGCGGGCAGCGGGGTCAGCCCGGGCCACCAGCCCGGCGGGAGCTGGCGCTTGTCCCTTGGGTCCCCAAGGGTCCCTTCCCCACGCGGTGTCCCCAAGGCGCACGTGTGCCCCCGGTCCCCGCGCTGACAGGGGTGGAAAACGCCTTTTCGTGACCCGTTCGTTTAGTTTTGGCGTTCTGGATCCTTGGTTTGGGGTTCTGGTCCTGGATTTGGGGTTCTGAATCCTTAGTTTTGGGGTTACGAATCCTGGATTTGAGGGTTCTGAATGCTTGGTTTGGGGGTTCTGAATCCTGGATTTGGGGTTATGAATCCTGGATTTGGGGTTCTGGATCATGGATTTGGGGGTTCTGGATCCTGGATTTGGGGGTTCTGACCCTGGATTTGGGCTCCGCAGCTCCCCGAGCCTTTCCCAGCGTGGCAGCCCCTTGGGATATCGGTCACTCCCTGTCCCGGAGCTCAGGAAAAGCTCGGCTGTTCCTGCTCCCCATGGCTCCGGCCTTTGTCTGGCCAGGACAGCGCTCAGGCTGCGCTCAATAAATTATTCCTGGAGGAGAAATGCCGGGTGGGAGGCTCAGGCTGCTCCAGCACTGCTCTGCTGGCATCTGGAAATAGGGCAGAGAGGAACTGTCTGTGATTCCCCACTCCGGGATTTGCTGGTCCGAGCGTGAGGCGGCCGGGATTTGCAAAAATCGCCATAAAAAAAAAAAGAGAGAAATGCTTGGAGAGACCCGGGAATAACAATAAAACTGAGGGAAATGCTTGGAGAGACCCGGGATAACCCTGGAGATGCTCGCGGGGAAGCGAAACTTGCCACGTTGGCCCTTCAGCGGGGTGAGATAGGAAGGAAACCAAGGCAGAAAATTTAAAAAGAAGAAAAAAAAAAAAAAAAAGGTAAAAAAAAAACCAACAACCCAACCCCCCCCAAAAAAACCCCAAAAAACCAAAACAAAAAAAATAAAAATAAAATTTAAAAAAAACCTCCAAAAAAACCAAAACCAAAAAATAAAAACAACAAAAAAGGCAAAAAAACCCCAAGAATAACAACAACAACAAAAAATCAATAACAAGAAAAAAAAGAAAAAAAAAAAAGCCAAAAAAAAAAAAAGAAAAGAAAAAAAAACCCCAACCTAAACAAAGTGCAGGGAAAAGTTGCCGAGTTGCCGAGGCCAAGCGATCCGCAAGGAAACGCGGGCTCGGCTCCTCGCCGCTGGCCCCGGGGTTGTGCAACAGCCACATCCCGGGTAGGGACGGGGCCGCGTTGTGTAACCCCGGCAGAAATAGGCCAGCGGCACCGCTCACGCCCTCCTTATCGGGGATGGCTGCGAGTGATGCAGGGGCAAAGCTGCCATGGGCCGTTCTCCTTCCCTGGCCCCCGTGAGGAGCCTCAGGAACCGGCTCCCGCCTCCCAAACACAAATTGAAAAAAAGGAAAAATCAATATCCGTGAGCTGGGGATGCTGCGGGACGCGGCGCTGCCCTCCCGGCCGCCTCCGCAGCTGGATTTTCTGGGGTATTTTTGAACAAATTCCCGGGAATCCTCCCGTGAGGCGAGAGGCGGGAGATGCCAGCCGTGTGCCCTGGCTGCTCCCATCAGGGCTGGAAAATCATTGCTGCCTTATGGAGCTCCCCGGGCAAAGGGAGAAGCCAGCACACGGGGTAGAATTCTTGGAAAGCTGCGATTTGTTTGATTGGGTCCTCTTATCAACCCCCGTGTTTGGGAGAAAAGATTGTAGGTGGTAGCCTGTAGGTAGGGATGTGATTTCCCTTTGGATCAAGGAGAAAAGGCGCTCACTTTGGGTTAAAAAGTGCCTTTTCCAACAGCTGTGGTTCGTGTCCGCCTCAAGGCCTTGAAAATAGCCTCAAAAATGGGATTTTCCCGTCCATTCTCGCCGCGGAGCAGCTTTACCTGCTCTGCCACCTGTCTGGGGGCACATTCCCTCCCTGCCCAGCCCCTGCCCTGCTCCTGCCTGCACAGTGGGCTGTCCACACTTATCTAACCCCCAAGGGATTGTGCAAACTTTAATTAACCTCGGCGGCGTCCTTGGAGAGATCCCGGCTTGAAAGTGTGCCGCCGCCGCTGCCCTGGGATGTGCCAGCTCACCCCGGCCTTCCTCATCCTCATCCTCATCCCCAGCCTCGTCACTGGGAGGGCGGCTGAGCCTCTCCTCTGCCCCATCCCTCCTTCAAAAAGGGAAAAAATGGGGGTGGGATTGATTCTCCTGCGTTTGGAAAGCATGAGCAGGCTTTTAGTTAGTTTTTTAGGGCTTTTTAGGTTTTTAGGGTTTTTATTCATTTTTGAGGGTTTTTTTTAAGGTTTTTTTGTTATGTTTTTTAGGGGTATTTTTAGGTTAATTTTTTAGGTTTTTGTTTTAGTTTTTAGGGGTTTTTTTTAGTTTTTGGGGTTTTTTTTAGCTTTTTTTTAAAGTTTTTTAGAGGTTTTTTTAGGTGGGTTTTTTTATTTTTTTTAGGGGTTTTTAAAGGTTTTTTTAGGGTTTTTTTAGTTTTTTTAGTGTTTTTTTTAGTTTTTTAGGGGTTTTTTTAGGGTTTATTTTAGTTTTTTAGTTTTTTTTTCTTTTAGTCTTTTAGGGTTTTTTAAGGTTTTTTTCTTTTGGTTTTTTAGGGGGGTTTTTAAAAAAAATTTTTAGGGTTTTTGTTTTTAAATTTATTTTTCCCTTGCCCAGGGATTAGCCTCACCCAGCTGATTCCTCCCTGCTGGCCGCCCCTGCGGGTGTGGCAGGGGCAGCTTTGGCAAATTCCTGGAAAACCAAGCTCGCATCTTCCCCCGAGGCTGCCCAGGCCGGGTCAGGGCCAGCACAGCTCGTCCCACCTTGGGGGAGCCACCCTGGCTCTCCTTCCTGGGTCTCCCTCCCCACCGCAGCCACCCTGCCTCAGTTTCCCCTGCACAGGGGGGTCCTGGGGGCACAGAGGCATCCCCGAGGCCCTGTGGGTTTGACAAGGACAAACAGACAGCAGCAGATGGGTGTTTCCAGCTGCAGAACAGAGGGCAGAGCGTTCTCCTGGCTGAACTGGGTTTTACTGGGGCAGTTGGATGTTTTACTGGGGTAGCTGCATGTCTCCAGTGACAGAACTGTGGGGCAGAGCATTGTCCCAGCTGAACTGGGTTTTACTGGGGTAGCTGGATGTTTTACTGGGGTTGTTGGATATCTCCAGCTGCAGAACAGAGGGCAGAGCATTGTCCCAGCTGAACTGGGTTTTCCTGGGGCTCTGGGGCAGCGGGGTCACCCGAGGATGGGCTGCTCTGCTGGCTGCTCCCCGCTGTCACTTCCTCACCGTCATCCTCCGGCGTGGATCCAGCTGCTGGCCCGGGGCTGAGGATGAGGAGGAACCGGCCGAGCAGGAACCCCAGAGTGACTCACCCAGTGAGGATGACTCCGGGCGTGTGGTGTGTCACCCCGAGGGAGGGAGGGAGGGAGGAGGGCACCCACGTGGGCTCGGAGCTGTCCTGGAAGGGTGGAAGGACCAGGACGTGGGTGCCAGCAGCAGGGTGGGGGCAGCCCAGCATCACCCCTGTGTCACCGGGGCGAGGGGACGAGCCGGTTCCTGCCCTGAGTCACTGGGGTGGGAAATGGGGGCAGGAATGGGGACTGGGCATGTGGGGCAGGGAATGGATCCCCCAGGCCTTGCCCCTGCTCCCCCTGCTTGGCTTTCCCCAAATTCATCATCCCCAATTGTCCCCAATCGTCCCACCAGGGGACACAGCACAGCACAGCATCCCCCTCCCAGGCAGCCAGCATCCCCTCAAACCGCAGGGATTCCTACAGAACAGCATGCTCCAAGTTAAAAACTGTTAAAAACTGGCACGGGGAGGGAGGTAATTTAAAGAAAATATAATTCCCAGCACAAATGTCCCTGGAGAGAGGGGTGACAGCGCATGCCGTGGGTTGGGGGTGTTGCAGCCTTGCCCAGATTTGAACGCTGCTCCGTCACCTTGCAGTCAGCACATGTTTGGCTTGGTTGCCAAAAAGGTGAAGAATCTGTCCCAGGAAGCAGCCACCCTCTGCCAGTGCTCAGATTTGCTCCCAAATCTCCAAGAATCAATCACTCCACTGTGTCCCAGTGCTCAGATTTGCTCCCAAATCTGCAGGAATCGGTCACATCCAGCTGAAAATGCATCAGGAGGTGCTGAGGATGGGGAGCACGCACTCCTGCCCTGCTTCCTGGCAGCCACGTGGCTCTGGGACAGGGTTCAGATCAAAATGAAAACAAAAGGCACGCGGCTTCCTCTTCCCAGAAGCGGGGTAATTAATGGGAAAGATGTCCTGGGACCCGCAGGAACAGAGCTCCCTTCCCTTCCCGTTCCTGCTGCGGCGCCAGAAGGGCCGTGCCCCTCGGCAGCCCAGCCCCGCGTGCCCAGGAGGTGAGGCTGGCGATCAGAGCTGGTTTTGGGGTGCTTTAGGCTGGGCTTTAAGCTGGGCCCCCCCAGCAGCAGGGTTTGGGCAGGCTGAGGTTTCCCAGCGGTGCCGCCGGCACGGGCGACCCTGGGCTCCGCTCCAGCATCCGGCGTGGCAGCGAGTGAACCTTGGGGACAGCCTTGGGCCAGGGGATGGGGATTTGCTGGGGTTTGCTTCAAAAACGCGGCGCTGAGCTCATTGCACCCACAGCTGCTCCGTGACCCGCAGCTCTAACGCGCTGCCCTGGGCCGGGGCATGCCCGGTGCTCCCCAGCTTCCTTTTCCTTTTCCTTTCCCTCCCCTCCCTCGGTTTGTTTGGATTTCCTCGAGGAAACGCCGTTGTTCAGGCTGGAAGCTTTCCAGGAACTCAATTGCCCCCTCCAGGATCCTTTGTTTGTTTGGAATTGGCGACCTGACCCAAACCGTTCCCTGCTCTTCAGCAGCCTCAAGCAGCTGGGAAGGTGTTTTGTGCTGAGAGATGCTCAGGCTCTGGCACTGCAGGCTGAATTCCTCATTTTACCCCATCTCTGTTACAATTTTAGGGTAACCAGCCATGCCACAGGGAGTTTTGGGGTGTTTGGAGGAGTTTTTGGGGGTCCAGTGGCCCTTCCTTGGTGGGGAAAGATGGATTCAGTGGGGAAGGAGATGTCCTGCTGTACGCCCTGACCTGCTTTAGCTGCCAAGTGGGGTGAGATCCACCTTGGCAGAAGATGATCCAGGTTTTAAGGGCTTTGGGGATTAGGGGAGGTCACCCTGCTGCTCAGGCTGGGTTATTCTGGTGTGGAGGACATGGGGGACGTGCTGGGCAGGGCCTGCCCTGGGCTCCCTGCTCTGGGATTTTTGGGCAGGGGGGCTTCACTGCTCTCCAAGCCAGCGTTTCTGGGATGAGCAGGTGCTCTGGGCTGGGGGCATGGGCTGATAACCCTGGGCATAACCCCGGGCACAGCTCAAGGGGACGTTTCCCACCCTGGGGCTGAGCTCCAGCCCCAGAGCCACCTCCTGACCAGTAACTGGAGCTTGCTGGTGCCAGTGAGCAGAGCCTGGGCACACGGGAGGGAATTTCCAGCAGGTGAAAGCAAACAGGAGGGCAGGGAGGAGAGAGTTTGACTTCCTGCTGCATAAGGAGAGGCTGGCAAACACCTGGCGCCAGGAAATCTCCAGGTTTCCTTCTCCTTGGCCTTTCCCTCCTGTTCAGATCCTGATTTTGGGAAGGAGCTGGGAGCACCAGGAGAAGGGACAGGAGGTTTTGCTGCTCCTCGGGGGATGCAGCATCACTCCTGGAATGCCGGGGTGGGATGGAGCCAGGTGACCCTGGCCCTGGTGCAATTATTTGCCCACAAAATGCCCATTTCCTGCAGCTCAGCCCCATAAAGCACGGCCCGGGCCCGGTGCCGGTGACCCGGCCTTACGTGCCTGCACACAGGTGAGCACACGGGGTGGAGCTTTCCTCCTCGATTCTCAGGGCTCGCAGCTGCCCTTTAATTAGCGCTGAGTGGCGCTAATTGGAGCAGGGCACGGTTTGGGAGCGGGCAGTGTCCGTCTGTCCTGCTCCTGCTCCGGCCAGGCTGCTGTGCCTGGGGAGGAGCATTTCCACACCTTGCCCGGCAGGACAGGAGGCTTTGATGCCGTTTTTGGGAGCATTCCCCACACCACCAGTTGGCAGGAACGGGGAGGTGGGGTGGGATCCTTCCCTCCCCGGCCACGCGCTGGTGTCACCCCAGCCTGGCCGGTGTCACTGCAGCTGCCACCCGTGTCACTGCAGCAGGGTTTGCTCCAGGCTCTGGGCTCCTGGCGTGACCTCAGCGGCGCAGGAATGACAGGGCACTGCATTCCTGCCCAGGAGAGGCCCTGGGGGTCAAGGTCAAGGTGTGCTGGGAAGGGTTTGCACCTGGAGAGCCGCCTGAGTCACCCCCGAGCTGGGTTCCTGTTTGGGCGCCCCTGTTTGGGCGCCCCTGTTTGGGTGTCTGCAGCTGGCTCGGCAGCCTGTGGCTCAGCACTCCCAGCTGGCACAGCCTGGGCAGGGATCAGGGTGGCCTTGGGAAGGGGCAGGAGCGGGGCTGGGTGATGCCTGCCATGAGCAGTCCCAGCCAAGCTGCTGTGCCCTGCACTTTGGGATGGCTCAGAGCCTGCTCCAGCTCCCTGTGTGCACTCAGGAGGGGCTGGGCACTGTCCTGAGCTGTCCTGTGTCTGACCCCATGTCCCTGTGTCCCCTGCAGGTGGACAAGTACCTGTACCACATTCAGCTCTCCAGCTCCCTGTGTCCACTCAGGAGGGGCTGGGCACTGTCCTGAGCTGTCCTGTGTCTGACCCCATGTCCCTGTGTCCCCTGCAGGTGGACAAGTACCTGTACCACATGCGGCTCTCGGACGAGACCCTGCTGGAGGTGTCGCAGCGCTTTGAGAAGGAGATGGAGAAGGGGCTGGGGGCAGACACCAACCCCACGGCCTCCGTGAAGATGCTGCCCACCTTCGTGAGGTCCACGCCGGACGGGACAGGTACCGTGGGGCTGAGGGAGGGCTGGGGGCACCGCAGCAGGGGTGGTGGCACTGCCACAGGAGGGGTGGTGGCACTGCAATAGCAGCAGGGGTGGCACTGCCACCAGAGCCACCTTCCCTGCTCCGTGCTGAGCGTGGGCACAGGCCTGGCTCCCTGCTCCGTGCTGGGGCTGGAGGGGATCCCAGTTCCTGCTGGCAGGGGGAGCAGAGAGGAGGAGGAGGAGGGAGGGAAGCCGCCCTCGCGTGCCCTTGCTGGCAGGACAGAGACAGTCACGGGTCCGGCTCATCAGATTTCATGGGCAGCAGTGCCAGCGCTGTCTGAGTGCCACAGGGCCCCGGGCACTGCAGGCCCCTCACAATGTGGCCTTTCTGCCTCTCCCCGAGCTGCCCAGGCCGCGCTCCAGCAGGGCACATCCTCCTCTCTGCTCCGTCCAGGGATGGGGCTCAAAAGGGTCTGAGATGAGAATGTTGGCTCCATGTTTCAGAAGGCTGATTTTATTATTTTAATGTATAATTTTATAATATTAGAATAGCAATAATATTCTATAAATATTACTATAAATTATTATAAATTATATAATAATATATATTATATAAATTATATATTTTATAGTATATTATAAAATATTAAAATAATATAATATATAATATATAATATATATTAATATATATTATAAATTGTATAATAATATAATATAACGTAATATAATATAATGTAATGTAATGTAATATAATGTAATATAATATAATATAATATAATATAATATAATATAATATGCATAATAATATATAATATATATTAATATATATTATAAATTGTATAATAACATAATAATTATAGATTATCATATTAATAATGTCTTAAATATTATTCTAAATAAGTATAAGTCATAAAAGAAATAATTCTATAATATTAATAATATTTTATAAAATATCAATATTCTATAATAGATATTTTATTTTCATATATAATAATATAATATAATATAATATAATATAATATAATATAATATAATATTTATTATTTTAATATAGAATTTATATATAATATATATTGAAACCATGCTAAAAGAATAGAAGAAAGGATTTAATCAGGAGGCTAGCTAAGAATAGAGTAGAAGAATGATAACAAAGGCTTGTGACTGACCAGAGAGTCTGAGACAGCTGGGCTGTGACTGGCCATTAATTAGAAACAACCACATGAGACCAATCACAGATGCACCTGTTGCATTCCACAGCAGCAGATAACCATTGTTTGCATTTTGGTCCTGAGGCCTCTCAGATTCTCAGGAGAAGCAATCCCAAGGAAAGGATTTTTCAGAAAATATCATGGCTGCACCCTCGTGCACCCGGCTGTGCCGGGCCTGGGCTGCCCTTTCCATGAAGGAATTTCCCCAACAATTTAAATGCTGCTTGTCATTCAACCTTTCAGTGTGAAACCATTGCCGTCTCTCACTGCAGCCCTGCTGAAAGTGTCTCCCCTTCCCCCTGAGCCCCTGGAACCCCCAGAGCCCCCCCAGCTGCCCCCACACCCAGAGCTGGGCCTGGCTGCCTGCCCTGGCGCTGAGATTCCCATCTATTCAAATGTTGGAGGATATTTCTAATTACAGGCAGGGCCAGGAGCCGCCCCTGGGCACGGGAACCGGTGCAGCCCAAGGTGCTGGCTGCAGGTGGAGCGTGTGTCAGCACTTGCAGCCTCTCCCCTGCGCTCACAGGACGGATCCTTGGCTCCCTGCCCCGTTTCCAGCCTCTCCAGTGCCCCAGCTGGCATTTCTCACCCGGGGCAGGGGGAGAGAGGAGCACCAGCATGGAAAATGTCACATGAGAGGGATGCTGGGGCAGGCACGGCCCCGCAGCTGCCCAGGGCGCAGGAAAATGAGGGGGTTTAGGGCAAATCCCAGGGAAATGAGAGCTGGGATTCCCTGTGCAGCTGGAGCTGCACCCGGCCTCTGAGTGGCACCCCTTGGGTTTTGAGGAGGGGGGAAAACCAGGGCTGGGGGCCTGGGGCCAGATCCCCAGGGAGGATCTCAGTGCCCAGGGCCACGTTCTTCCTCCTTCCCTCTTTTTAAAGCTCCTGGGCAAAGTCTGACCTGGGCTGGGCCCCTGTGCCGGGTGCCAGGAGCTGCTCCCAGTGCAAGGCTGGGTTATTGCTGTGCTGCAGCCCTGCTCTGAGCTGGGCATGGTGCCACAGGGCTCTGAGGGGTGTCCCTGTCCTCGCTCTGGTGCCACAGGGCTCTGAGGGGTGTCCCTGTCCTCGCTCTGGTGCCACAGGGCTCTGAGGGGTGTCCCTGTCCTCCCTCTGGTGCCACAGGGCTCTGAGGGGTGTCCCTGTCCTCCCTGTGGTGCCACAGGGCTCTGAGGGGTGTCCCTGTCCTCGCTCTGGTGCCACAGGGCTCTGAGGGGTGTCCCTGTCCTCCCTGTGGTGCCACAGGGCTCTGAGGGGTGTCCCTGTCCTCGCTCTGGTGCCACAGGGCTCTGAGGGGTGTCCCTGTCCTGCCCCGTGTCCCTGGGTGGGATTAGGCCCCGTTTAATGCCCAGCTCCAGGGGGATGAGAGGGGCTTATGGAAATGCAAGGTCACACCTGCAGGTTAAGCCAAAGCCCAGCCCTGGCTCTCGGGGGTGGTGAGGGGAGGGAATTCTGCTTTGAAAGCAGGAGCTCTTCTAAAATCAACTTTCCTTACTTGGCTTGGCTCTGGCATCTGAGACAGATCCCAACTGAGCTTCTCCTTGGAGCCCAGCGTGTCTCCCGAGGGCTTTCCCTGCTCAGTGCCACCAGCACCCTCCTCCTGCTCCTCTCCTGGTGTTTCCAGGCTGCTCTGGGTGCCCAGGTCTCCTCCTCAATGGTGTTGGTTTGAGGATCTTGTGGTGCATCCTTTGCTGAGCCCCAGCAGCTGATAACCCCAGCCTGGGGCTTCCAGGAGGATGCTGCAGGGTTTGTGGGGTATCCAAGGATGCTGCAGGGTTTGTGGGGTGTCCAAAGGGTGGCTCTTGGCAGCACCTTTCCCTTGCCTGTGTTTGCCCTGCCTGTTTGGCTTGTGGGCTCAGCACCGGGGCTGATGCCTTATCACAGACCTGGGAGCCCAAACTGGGGCAGTGCCCACACCTGGCACCCGCCACGTGCTCCAGGCATGGCTGGGAGTGTTCCAAGGGAACCCTGCCCTGCTCCTCCTGCAAAGCTGATCCACCCAGGAATTCACAGGGATTTCCCCCAAACTGCTCTTTTTTTTTGGGATCCTCCTGGGTTACCCCCAAGGAGCTGAGCAACCTGTGCCGCTCTTGGCTCCTCTTGTCCCTGGTGGATTTATCAGCCCTCTGAGGTGTTCTCTGTGCCCTGATGGTATTGATCACCCTCCTGAGGTGTTCTCCATGCCCTGCAGGTATTGATCAGCCACAGGAGATGCCCATTCTGGGGCTATTTCCAGCTGGAGATGCCCATTCTGGGGCTGGGCTGGGGCTGGGGCTGTTTCCAGCCTCATTCCCTGCAGGTGCTGCTGCTCTGTGCACACCAATGGCCCCGATGGCCTGCAGGTTTTGTTCCCTTTGTCCCTCACAAAGCAGCCCCAGCAGCCAGCACAGCACATTCAGGGCTCTGCGTGCTGAGAGAGGCTTTCCCCTGCCCCAAACAGCCAGCTGGGCGCTTTTCCCTGCCCCAGACAGCCCTGGGGCTGCCCTTGGAGGAGCCTCGCTGGAGCCCTGCGTGCTGGGAATTTCAGATTTTCTGTGCTGAGTGTAGGAGCGCTCTGCGTTGAGCTGAGGCTGTGGAGAACACTTCCAAAATCGAGCGGTAGCGCTGGGATCGTGGGTGTGGAGTTTGGATAGAGGTGTGTGATATCACAGAAAAAAAACCTTTGAGTTTAAGGTTTTAGAATATAGGAAAATCTTTAGAGCAAGAGGGAGGTTTTAGGGTGGAGGCTGGTCCTTCTTTTTCACCTTCCTCTTCTCCTTCCTCTTCTCCTTCTCCTTCTCCTTCTCCTCCTCCTTCTCCTTCTCCTCCTTCTCCCTGGGTTTGGGTGGTTTTGTGTAATTGGATAAAAAGTCCCCATTGCAGCCCATGGGTGGTTGGTTATTGGGTTAAAAGTAAAGATAATTTCAGTGCCATTTCCTAATTGCACAGTTTATCCTTAAAAGGCCTTGGAGAGAGATGGAGAGAGACAGGGCTCCAGTTTTAGTTTGTTGGAGTGCTGCAGAGCTCAGGGTTTGTGAGAGTACAACAAGAGATAAGAGCCAATAAACATCTGAGTCCCAACAAGAAATTCTGTCCTGCACGTTTAATAATGGCAAATTGAAAGCAGCAGAGATTCCTCAGCAGCTCTCCCTGGAGAAGGCAGCAGTGAGGCCCCAAAACTTTGGGATTTTCTCCCTCCCTGGTTTCCTGCAGCCACGTTCCAGGAGCGTGTGGCATTCCTGGGCTGGCCTGGGGGGTTTGAGTACAGCACAAACCAGGCTGAGGAGTTCCCACAGCTGCCATCAGGGTTTAACCCTTTGGGATGGAGGTTTGGGAGCCTCCGGGAGCATCAATGGGGTCAGGAATGGCTCTGCTGCCTCCTTCCTGATGGAGCCTGAGGCTGCAGCTCAGATCCCTGCTGCTCTGGGCTTTTCTGGGGGGGATTCACACCCCAAAGCATCCGTGATGGTCAAAATACTGATCCTCTGTGTGGGCAGAGGAGAGGCAGGGAATACAGCGACCGTTCCAATGAAACACCGAAAAAATAGAATAACGGACAAAGTGATGAAAAATAACAAAAATCTGGGCTTTTCGTGGTGCCTGGGAGGGGGTGGTGGGCTCTGTGCGCAGGGGAATGAAGGGGCTGTGCTTGTGCTGACCCACAGAGGACGGCGATTTCCTGGCCCTGGACCTGGGCGGCACCAATTTCCGCGTGCTGCGCGTGAAGGTGTCGGACAACGGGCTGCGCAAGGTGGAGATGGAGAACCAGATCTACGCCATCCCCGAGGAGCTGATGAGGGGCAGCGGGGTCCAGGTGGGCTCCCGGGGGGCTCCTGGCCGGGGGATCCTGCTGGCAATCCAGCGCTGGGCACGGGGGATGCGGCGTCCCCTCGCAGTGGGGCTTTTTGTCACTCTTTCCCCTTTTTCCAGCTTTTTGACCACATCGCTGAGTGTTTGGCCAACTTCCTGGACAAGCTGCAGATCAAGGACAAGAAGCTGCCCCTGGGCTTCACCTTCTCCTTCCCGTGTCACCAGACCAAGCTGGACGAGGTGGGTGAGGGGGCTGAGCCCTCCCTGTGGGTCCCACACCAATTTCAGCTCGCCCAGGGCAGCTCGCTCAGTGCCTCAGTTTCCCCAGCTCCAAGGCAGGGCAGGGGTCTGCCTCCCTAAGGGGCTGTGGCCATAGGGCTGGAGATTTCAAATCTTGAAATTGAGTTGGAATTGAGTCCTTTTCCTCCCCCCAGGGCTCGGCTCAGCCTCTTGCCAGGTGCCCCTGGCCGCAGGGGACTGCGAGCCCCCCACCCTGCAGGGATGGGTCAGGGACCATTCCATAGGCACAGTGAGCCCCCTGCCCCACTGGGACCATCCCACAGGCACAGTGAGCCCCCTGCCCCACTGGGACCATCCCACAGGCACAGTGAGCCCCCTGCCCCACAGGGCTGGGTCAGGGAGCATTCCAAAGGCACAATGAGCCTCTCACCCCACAGGGCTGGGTCAAGGAGCATTCCATAGGCACAGCCAGCCATCCACCCCTCAGGGATGGTTCAAGGAGCATTCCTTGGGCTCGTGAGCAGGTTTTGCTGCAGGGCTCAATCAAAGATGGTCATGGGAAGCACGTTCCTGCTGCCGGGGCAGCAACGGGCAGCTCACGTGTTGTTTGGTGGCCATAAACTTTATCTGTCACGGAAGCCGCGGCTGATGGCGCAGCTGGTGAGCCGATAACGGGGAGCCAGGGGTCACCCCCAAGCCTCCTCTTGCTGTTCCCCTGCAGAGCATCCTCGTGACGTGGACCAAAGGGTTCAAGTGCAGCAGCGTGGAGGGCAGGGACGTGGTGTCCCTGCTGCGCAAGTCCATCAAGAAAAGAGGGGTAAGGGCCTGGGCTGGGGGCACGCGGCTCCTGGCCTGCACGCCTGGGCTCCAGGCAGGTGCTGTGGTCAGTCTTGCCTCTGTTGGGTCAGCCTCTCCCCTTTCCACCACGCCAGGACTTTGACATCGACATCGTGGCCGTGGTGAACGACACCGTGGGCACCATGATGACCTGTGGCTACGACGACCAGAACTGTGAAGTTGGCCTCATTGTTGGTGAGCTGCAGGGAGAGGAAAGATGTTCTGGGGGTGTTTTCTGGGCTCCAGCAGGGCCAGAGGGAGATCCTGCTTCTTGCAGGTCTGGGGGTCTCTGGGGGAAAAGAGAGAGGGGGATACCAGTGCTGGAAAACCAGCATTGTGCAGAGTTTGTGTGCTTGGTTCTTGGCTTTCTTTGGTGCACTGGGCTGTGGCCAAAGGGAAATGGGGATAATGGGAATGGGGGACAATGGGAATGAGGGATAAGGGGAATGGAGGGTAATGGAAGTGGGGAATAATGGGAATGGGTGATAATGGGGATGGGGGATAATGGGAATGAGGAATAAAGAGAATGAGCAATAATGGGAATGGGGGATAAGAGGGATGAGGAATAATGGGAATGGGGGATAATGGAAATGAGGAATAATGGGAATAAGGGACAATGGGAATGAGGGAATAATGGGAATAAGGAATAATGGGAATGGGGAATAGTGGGAATAAGGAATAATGTGAATAAGGAACAATGGGGATGAGGAAAGGCAGTGTCCCCGCTCACCCTGTGCCCCTGCTTGGCCCAGGAACTGGAACCAACGCCTGCTACATGGAGGAGATGAGGCACATCGACCTGGTGGAGGGGGACGAGGGCAGGATGTGCATCAACATGGAGTGGGGAGCCTTTGGTGACGACGGGGTGCTCAACGACATCCGCACCGAGTTCGACCGCGAGATCGACATGGGCTCGCTCAACCCTGGCAAACAATTGTGAGCACATTCTTGGCTCGGGCTCGCGGTTTGCTCAGCATTGTCCATCCTCCCACAGTCACTGGGGCTGGGGAGGTCAGCCCAGCTAACTGGGTCAGCGTGTCCTCTGTCACTGGTGCAGAGAGGGGCTGTGTCCCAAAGCAGGGCTGTACTAAACCAGGGCTCTGTCCCAAAGCAGGGCTCTGTCCCAAACCAGGGCTGTCTGCCCCACCTGCTGCCCTTGTGACCCCCTCATGTGAATGATTCCTGTTCCCTTCCTGCCCAGCAAAGTCCCCAGCAGCCCAGGCAGAACATCCGCATCCCAATCCTGCAGATCTCCCATTCCCCACAGGGCTGCTGTGGCCTGGGGGTCCCTGCAAACTGACTGACCCCTGCAGGTGGCCATGAGGTCTCTTTGCAGGGTGGTGGTCGTGTCCACATGGCCTGATATGCTCAGTGATGGGATAAACTGCTCTGGGAAGGGATTACCCAGATTCTGTTTGGGATGGGAGGCTGCCAAGGGGTTTTCAGGTCAGCCTGTGGCCACCTCGTGGCACACACAGCCAAACACACACATTGTTTAGCCTGGAGAAAAGGAGGCTCAGGGGGAGATAATGGAGAGAGAGGAGAGGTTCAGGTTGGATATTTGGGGAAGATTTCTGCTCTGAAAGGGCGTCAGGTGTGGCACAGGCTGCCCAGGGCAGTGGTGGTGTCACCATCTCAGAGGGATTTAACAGCTCTGTGGATGTGGTACTTGGGGCTAGTGGTGGCCTTGGCAGAGCTGGGGAATGGCTGGACTTGCTCACCTTGGAGGGCTTTTCCAGCCCTTCGGCTTTTCCAGCCCTTCAGACCATTCCCTGATTGCACCCCGTGCCTCCCCACGGGCAGGTTTGAGAAGATGATCAGCGGGATGTACATGGGCGAGCTGGTCAGGCTCATCCTGGTGAAGATGGCCAAGGACGGGCTGCTCTTCGGGGGAAGGCTCACGCCAGACCTGCTCACCACGGGCCACTTTGAGACCAGATTCGTGTCTGCCATTGAGAAGTAAGTAGGATCCAGGGCTTTCCTGTGTCCCACCCAGCCCGTGGATGGAGCGGCACCGAGCAGAAGCTGCGCTGCCAGGCACGAACCCCGTTTTGCGGTTCCAGGGAGAAGGAGGGGCTGCAGAAAGCCCACGAGATCCTGAGCAAGCTGGGGCTGGAGCCGTCGCACGAGGACTGCGTGGCCACGCTGCGCATCTGCCAGATCGTGTCCACGCGCTCGGCCGCGCTCTGCGGGGCCACGCTGGCCGCCGTGCTGCGCCGCATCCGCGACAACAAGGGCGGCGACCGGCTGCGCTCCACCGTGGGCGTGGACGGCTCCGTGTACAAGAAACACCCTCAGTGAGTGTGGGATGGGGATGGGGACAGGGACAGGGTGCTGGGGACATGTATCCTGTGCTAGGGGTAGGGACAGGGATTTGGGGACAGGGATCTGGGTGTGCTGGGGACAGGGCCAGGGACGATCTGCTGCTGCCAGCAGTGCGCACAGCTCGGCACACGAGAAGCGCCCCCAAAGACCCCCTCAGCCCCTCGTTTGGATGCCAGGGGGTGCCCAGAGGGTCCCACTGAGGCCCCCTCTCCTCCTCCCGCCCAGCTTTGCCCGCCGCCTGCACAAGACCGTGCGGAAGCTGCTGCCCGACTGCGAGATCCGCTTCATCCGCTCCGAGGACGGCAGCGGCAAAGGCGCGGCCATGGTGACGGCCGTGGCCTACAGGCTGGCTGCTCAGCACCAGGCCCGCCAGAAGATCCTGGAGCCCCTCAAGCTGAGCCACGAGCAGCTGCTGGAGGTGAAGGAGAGGATGAGGATGGAGATGGAGAAAGGGCTGGGCAAGGAGACGCACGAGGAGGCGACGGTGAAGATGCTGCCCACCTACGTGTGCTCCACTCCTGATGGAACAGGTGATGTGTCCTGTGTGAAACCCCTGGGTGTGAGCCCTGCACGTCCTGCATCCTCGGGAGGGGCTGGATCCTTTGCTGTGGCCGGTTCCTCTTTGTGGTGGGAGTGGCACAAAGCTCCAGTTTGGTACTGGGCAGAGCCTCCAGGACGTTCTGCACCTGATTTAACACAAAGCCTGGCCACAAATCCTGCCACAGGATTCCCTCCACCCTCATCCTGGGTTCTGCTCCTGGTTTGGGCGAGTGCCTGACCTTGGCTTGAAGCTGGTGCAGGTCCTGAGGGCCAGGAGCTGGACTTCAGTGATCCCTGTGGGTCCCTTCCAGCTCAGGTTCATGATTTGAATCCTCACCATCACCCTGAGTGTGGAGCAAACCTCTCCATCCTCCTCCTACCTGCAGCCCCTGTTCCCACCTGTCCCCAGCCACGTCTCCATTTCCATCCCTCTCCTGGGAGGAGGGCAGGTCCTGTCTGCTCCGTGCTGGGATCTCTCTGAAGATCCTCTCTGGCCTTGCAGAAAAGGGAGATTTCCTGGCCCTGGACCTGGGAGGAACCAACTTCCGTGTGCTGCTGGTGCGCGTCAGGAACGGGATGCGGCGCGGGGTGGAGATGCACAACAAGATCTACTCCATCCCCGTGGAGATCATGCAGGGCACGGGAGAGGAGGTCAGTGTGGGAAGGGGCCTCTTCCCTGGGCTGGCTGCAGCTGGTTTTGCCTTTCCAGAGGGTGAAACAGGAGTGGGGAGCGCTGGTGCTCTCCTGGCCTTGGAGCAGCCAGCTGTGCCCAGGGCTCTGCAGTTTGGGAAGCTGGGGCCTGGATTTTGGGTTGCAAATGGTGTTATTCCCAGCCATGAGTGAGCCTCCCTGAATCCCACACGCTCCACGAGGGCAGATAAGCATCATCCCCGTTTCCCAGATAGGGAAACCACAAGAGAAGCAGTGAGACACGTTTGGAAAGGGTTTTGCAAAGCGCTCCAGGCAGTGCTTGGGGACTGGGCTGGAGGGGATCCCTTGCAGAGGGACCGGGTTCCTGCTGGTCCCCAGCCCTCCAGGGACCTGTGGGTGGAGATAATGCAGGGATTTGGCCACGCTGGGTGGGGAAGAGGGTGAGCTGAGCGTTTTGGGGTTGCTCACCTCCCACATCCTGCTCTGTTCAAAGTCCTGGGGGTGATCTGAACACTCCAGCAGGCCTGGGAATGGGTCAGAATCCCCAGAAATCAGGCTTCCAGCTAGGCCCTGGCTGTGGTGGTAACTGTTGTCCCTGGCTTTGCTCATGCAGCTCTTTGACCACATTGTGCACTGCATCTCTGACTTCCTGGAGTACATGGGGATGAAGGGCGTGTCGCTGCCGCTGGGCTTCACCTTCTCCTTCCCTTGCCAGCAGAACAACCTGGACGAGGTAAGAGGTAACCCCACCCTTACCTGCAAGCACCCCTGCCCGTGCCTGGCCCTTCAGGGGCACTCACTGGGGGCTTTTCCCACCACAGGGAATCCTCCTGAAGTGGACAAAAGGCTTCAAGGCGACGGGCTGCGAGGGAGAGGACGTGGTGGGGCTGCTGAAGGAGGCCATTCACAGGAGGGAGGTGAGCAGCCACGGGGCTGGGAGAAGCTGGGCTGCTCCCGCATCCTGGCTCTCCTTGGCATCATTAATTGGCCTGTAAAACAAATTACTGGGCTGAGCTCAGCGTAATGAGTGTCGGAATTCTCGCAGCCGCCCTTACTCATCACTCGAGGTTGGATTTTCAGACCCTGGGGCTACGGGCTGGCTCCTGGCCAGGGCTGGAGCAGACTTGTCTGGCCCTGAGCTCAGGAGAGAGCGGCTCGCTTCCTCAGCACAGACCACCCCGAGCTGCTGCCAGGGGCTGCTCCTGGCAGGGCTGCCCCAGCTGGAGGTGTCTGAGCTCTGCCTGCAGGCGGCTGGGGCTGGGGAAGGCCAGGTGGGAGCAGACTCGGCAGGGATTCCAGGCCCTGCAGGAATAACTCCTGCAATCCGTCCCTCTGCAGGAATTCGACCTGGACGTGGTGGCAGTGGTCAACGACACCGTGGGCACCATGATGACCTGTGGCTACGAGGATCCCTACTGTGAAGTTGGGCTGATTGTCGGTGAGCACTGAGCGTTCCTTGTGCAGCTCCTGCCCCGTGCTGCCCCCCTGCCCTGCCCTGCCCTGGGGCTGTCCTGCCATCTCTCTGACCCTGCTCCTCCCCACAGGCACGGGCAGCAACGCCTGCTACATGGAGGAGATGAGGAACGTGGAGCTGGTGGAAGGGGACGAGGGCAGGATGTGTGTGAACATGGAGTGGGGCGCCTTTGGGGACAGCGGCTGCCTGGATGACATCCGCACCGAGTTCGACGTGGCCGTGGATGAGCTGTCCCTCAACCCTGGCAAGCAGAGGTGCGTGGTGGCTTTGGGGGGCTGGAAGGGACCCCAATGGGGGGGTTCTGCCCCAGCAGCCCCTTGGTGGGTCCAGGGGATGATGGGCAGGACACCGACGTGTCCCTTGTGCCCTGGCCGTGCTGCTGAAGGGATTGTCCTGAATTGTCCTGAGGGCACCTGGCAGAGCTGGAATCCCCAGCCAGCCCCGGTGTCCCTTCCTGTGCTGATGCCCAGCCTTGTCCTCTCCTGCCCAGGTATGAGAAGATGATCAGTGGGATGTACCTGGGGGAAATCGTCCGCAACATCCTGATGGACTTCACCAAGAAAGGGCTGCTCTTCCGGGGACGCATCTCAGAGAGGTTGAAGACCAGAGGGATCTTTGAGACCAAGTTCCTGTCCCAGATAGAGAGGTGAGCTCCACCAGCTCCAGAGCAGGGATGGAATGTGGGGGAGTTCTGGTGGGAGAAGCTCCACGTGAGCTTGGTGGGGAGCCAGGGCGATGCAGGATGGTGCCCCACGGGTGGATCAGCAGAGCCCACGTGGTTGGTTGAGTGCAGGGACAAGGAGAGGCTGCCTGGGGCTGGCGGCACAGATGGCTCTTTATGCTCTGCCCTGAGCAGGGTGGCAGGGGCGTCACACTCCGCTGGCCTTGTCCTGAAACAGCCTCCCCGATCAGGATGTGACACCAGGCCACATCCAGGCCTGAAAGCTCAGGTTTGGGGGGCTGCAGGACCACCCCAGGCCCTGCCACGAGCCCGAGTGCAGGGTGAGGATGAGGATGAGGATGAGGATGAGGATGAGGAGGCTGCCCATCCCTGACGCTGCCCCCGCCGTGTCCCCGCAGCGACTGCCTGGCCCTGCTGCAGGTGCGCTCCATCCTGCAGCACCTGGGCCTGGAGTCCACGTGCGACGACAGCATCATCGTCAAGGAGGTGTGCACGGTGGTGGCGCGGCGCGCGGCCCAGCTCTGCGGCGCCGGCATGGCCGCCGTGGTGGACAAGATCCGCGAGAACCGCGGCCTGGACTTCCTCAAGGTCACCGTGGGCGTGGACGGGACGCTCTACAAGCTGCACCCGCAGTGAGTGCGCCTGGATGTGCTGCCTGGGCGGGTGGGGGCTCGGGGGGAAGGTTCGGGGGGGAATGGGGGAGGATTGGAGGTGTTTTGGGGGCTTGAGGCCTAACAGGAGCTCGCTGACCCAAACTTGAGGCCCAGAAGGAGCCCTCAAGGACAGGGGCTCCTCCAGTCCCACTGGGCCTGACCCAGATGTGGTGACCAGCTTCAGCCAGGGCTCCAAGTCATGGGGATGTGTCATGGAGGTTCATGGCCACACAAATTGCCCATGCCAGAGCTGGCTGGCTGGTGCTGCTGGGCACTGGAGCTCAGACAGGATCTAAGGCACCGAGCTGAGCTTAAATAGGGCTCAGGAGCCCATGGGCAAAGGGAGGCACTGAAAACTCCCCCCAGATGGGGCTGGTCAGGGCTGTTGAGGCTCAGTAGAGCTCCCAGGGCTTGGTGGGCCTCGAGAAGGGGCTGGGTTTGGTCCTGAGAGAAGGCACAGCATGGTCATGTTGTAACCATGGGCTCGGGCTGAAGTGTGGAGACTTGGGCTTTCTAAGCTTCATCCATGACCATCCATCCATCCCTCCCCCTGGGGTCTGTGCTTCTCCTCGAGGCTCTGTGAAGCCGCATTAGGGGCTGGGACTGACACCTTCACCCCGTGGCCGCTCAGCTCAGAGCCTCTCCCTCTCCTTGCCCCGCAGCTTCTCCACGGTGCTGCAGGAGACAGTGAAGGAGCTGTCCCCCAAGTGTGAAGTGACCTTCCTGCAGTCGGAGGACGGCAGCGGCAAGGGCGCCGCGCTGATCACGGCCGTGGCCTGCCGCATCCGCGAGGCCGGCCAGCGGTAGAGGCCAGCAGGTTTGCCCCGGAGCTTGGTTTCAGCAGAACAGGACGCGTTTCCTCTCCCAGCCCCTCCCTCGTCCCCCTGCACACACTCACACGCCCCCTCCCCTCCAAGCAGACTCGTAGCTTTACTCGTTCCCGGGGCACCACGGCGCGATGGAGGCGCCGTGGGCTCCGTACCAAGTGTTGTCGTAGGAGTTTCCTTGCATGCCATGAAACCCGCTGTCGAGTAAAGCTCACAGCGCCTTTTGGCTTCTCCCTGCATTTCCAGGTGGAGCTGGAGCTGTCCCACCTCCGTCACCCCCCAGCTCTCCTCCCACCACCGGCCCTCCCCTAGCAGCAGTAGGGATAACACTCGGATGATTCAGACACTGCATTGTCACTTTAACAGAACCTATTTATGTGTGTCGGAGCCGTAGCTGTCCGTGCTGTAGAAGCAAACCTCTAAGATTGGGCTAAAGACCTCCACTAGTCTTTTACCCTGATCAAGGCTGCATTATTTCCATGAAAGTCATGGTAACTCTTAAAGCACAGGGTGCAGAGTTCCACGGGCGTGGCTGTGGCTGCACTGGAGGTACCGCGTACCTCCCTTGGTGAGCGACCCCAGAAAGTTCTGGGGCCAGGCTGCAGGGCCCCTCAGCCTTGGTGAGCGATCCCAGAGAGGTTCTGGGGCTCCTCAGCCTTGGTGAGCGATCCCAGAGAGGTTCTGGGGTCCCTCAGCCTTGGTGAGCGATCCCAGAGAGGTTCTGGGGCCCCTCAGCCTTGGTGAGCGATCCCAGAGAGGTTCTGGGGTCCCTCAGCCTTGGTGAGCAATCCCAGAGAGGTTCTGGGGTTCCTCAGCCTTGGTGAATGATCCCAGAGAGGTTCTGGGGCCCCTCAGCCTTGGTGAGCGATCCCAGAGACGTTCTGGGGCTCCTCAGCCTTGGTGAGCGATCCCAGAGAGGTTCTGGGGTCCCTCAGCCTTGGTGAGCGATCCCAGAGAGGTTCTGGGGCTCCTCAGCCTTGGTGAGCAATCCCAGAGAGGTTCTGGGGCTCCTCAGCCTTGGTGAGCGATCCCAGAGAAGTTCTGGGGCTCCTCAGCCTTGGTGAGCAGTCCCAGAGAAGCTGATGGGTCCCTCAGCCTTGGTGAGCAATCCCAGGGAAGTTCTGGGGCTCCTCAGCCTTGGTGAGCAATCCCAGAGAAGCTGATGGGGTTCCTCAGCCTTGGTGAATGATCCCAGAGAGGTTCTGGGGTCCCTCAGCCTTGGTGAGCAGTCCCAGAGAGGTTCTGGGGTCCCTCAGCCTTGGTGAATGATCCCAGAGAGGTTCTGGGGTTCCTCAGCCTTGGTGAGCGATCCCAGAGAGGTTCTGGGGTTCCTCAGCCTTGGTGAGCAGTCCCAGAGAAGCTGATGGGTCCCTCAGCCTTGGTGAGCAGTCCCAGAGAAGCTGATGGGTTCCTCAGCCTTGGTGAATGATCCCAGAGAGGTTCTGGGGCCCCTCAGCCTTGGTGAGCGATCCCAGAGAGGTTCTGGGGCCAGCAGGGCCCCTCAGCCACCCCAGCAGAGCACGTGCCTGGAAATAACGGGGGCTCAGGGTCTGATCCCGTTTCCTGCCCCCTCCCCAGCCCTGGGTAGTGCAGGACGTGGCGTGTGTAGGTCGTGTTTGCCCCCAGCCCTTCCCTGAGCACCGTGGGCCCGGAGCCGCGGGTCAGTGTCTGCCCTGCCCAGCCCCAGCCCGTGTCTGCCCTCGGCGTGGAGAGTCGGGTTTGCTTGGTGTCTGTGAAATAGTTCTGCGGCCGCAGCCTTTAGGTGGCACCTGATTTGTACACTGTATATTTATGTTTTAAGAGATCTGATGTCTTTTTATGTACATAGTCTTGGGGGGGGTTGTATCACTTAGTTTTAACGTCACCTTTTCATGTTGTCGAAGGAGAGTACAGAGTAATTATTTTCTTTTTTTTTTTTTTGATCCTGTCGTGTAATTTTATTTTTTTTTTTTAATTTAAAATTTTCTTGGGGTAGACTGGAGAAGGAGACCCAAATACCTGAGGAACTGTTGTACAAGAAGAGGTTTGGGCATTCTGACTTTACCAGCAGGACAAAAGGGAAAGCAGAAAGCCAGGGCGTGCAGGATGCTGTGGGCTTCAGGCCGGGTTTAACCTTAGCAGAGGATTTGTTTTGTGCCCTGGAATGTCACATCCGTGGGGAGGTGACACACGCAGGGCCCTGCAGGTCCCCCTGTGCCCGCAGCAGCACCACCTGTGTGCCCTGGCCCAGTGCAGGGATCCGTGTTTGCCAGCAGAAAACTCTGGATGAACTGAAAGCTGCAGGTCTCTGCCTCGGTGAGAGGAGGCAGACAGAGGGTGGGGGGGTTTTCTGTAAATATTTAGCAGAAGTTAAAGAAATTTCAGTGATGTACAAAAAAAAAAAAAAATATAACTAATAAACCCCACAAACAGCCCTTCAGATTGGAGGATAGAGCTTTGTCTATTTTTATGTATATTTTTATACTGCTTGGGGTAACCTCATTACCAAAAGTCTCTCTTCTGTGTTGGGGGTCAAGTTCAGTAGCACAATTTTAAAGGAAAATTACTCTTTTGGGCATTTTAAATGCTTATTTTTTTATAAGCCTCAAGACGATTATAACAAATAAAACCTGTGTATAGAAATGATGTAAGAAACCAAGTTTAGTGGAAGTTTTAGAAGCTGTCAAATAAATCTTTGAAGGATGACGCAGAAATCCTCTAATCTGGTACCAAGCAGTTTTGTGTGATTTTTTTTTTCCTCAGAAAACCAGCATCAAAAATCAAAACAGAAATCTTTTTAGCTGCTGCACTGTGCAGAGTTGCATTAGTGGCTGTTTTTACTCTTAGCCAGCTGTGCCCCTGCTGAGCTCCATAGGGTTTTCATCTGTTAGTGAGTGAAATTTTACAGTTTTGGGGGCAGAATGGGAAGGATGGGGATCTGAGCAGCCCAGGGAAATTGGGGAGCTGAGGGGCCTGGCCTGGAGCAGGGTCACCACAATCCCCTCACCTGCTGCAGCTCACAGGGGTGAGGACATCACCCTTGTGGGTGCTGGTGGTGGATTTTTGGCTGGGCTTGGTCACAGGGACATCCCCTGGCTCTCCAAGGCTCCCCCAATGCTGGAGAGCTTTTGCTTAGGCTCAGAATCAAACAGGGTCTGCAACGTTCCCAATTCAGAGCATTACAGGACAGCTGTGGGTGCAGCCCACCCTCCCTGGGGCTGCAGGGGGAATTCGGGGAGCCCCTGGAGGGGTTTGGGGTCCCTGGAGGGGTTTGGGGTCCCTGGAGGGCTTTGGGGATCCCTGGAGGGGTTTAGGATCCCTGGGATCCCCAGCCCTGCAGGTGTTGGATGTCCATGGGATGTTCTGTGAATGTGTTCAAAATGAAGAAGGGAAGACTAAATCCTAATTATTGATATGAAGGGAAGATCAAATGATTATCTGTGGGGACAGATGGACAGACTGCTCAGCCTGGTTTGTCTTCCCTGCAGCAACAAGTGCTGCTTCGTGGGTTTAGGATGGTTTTGTTGTGCTTGGTTGTTCCCATCTGGGTGCATTTTCCTTGCTTTCCTGGGGTGCTGGAACGTTCTCTGGCCACGCAGGCAGCAGGGTGCGGAGTCTCTGCCCTGCCCTGCCTGGCAACTCTCCCCTCCTTGGTACTTTGGACAGGATTTTATTGGGCTTTTAACGTAAATGTACATCTATACAAACACAATCAGCAAATGGCCGAGAGCTGCAAGCAGAATTTGCCCGCTCTGCTCCCCTGCTGGAGCCCAGGGCTGGCAGGGGGAAGCTCGGTGCTATCAGTGGGGCACAGATCCCGGCCTGGCAGCAGCTCAGGTGCAGTTTGACCCGAGATAACTCAGTGCCTCCTCTCCTCCCTTATCAGGCAATCCAAACCCATCTGGCTGTCACAGAGATGAGATAAGGGGGTGAAAGGTCCAAGTGCACAGAGGGGAGAGGTGCAGAACGGTGCCAAGTGCACCGTGCCGGGGCTGTGAGGAGCAAGGGAACAACAGAATAACCTGGACTGTGGGGAGCCCTCGCCCCATTCCCCTCCAGACAAGGGAAGTGCCTGCTTTGGGCACATCAGTCCCTGCTCTGGCACAAAAATGGGCACTGAAGGCAAAAAGAGGCAATTCTGGTTCTCAAAGTGAATTGGAGAGAGGAAATTCTTTGTCTTTGACATCCCGGACCAGCCTGAAATCCTTCTGGCCTGAAGCAAAGAAAATGCACCTGGATGTGGGCAGGGGAGTCCTAAAGCCAAAGACTGTGTGGCTGCTGGCAGAAACGAGTGCTGTAGATTCACCTGATGTTGTTCTCTCTATTGTGTTTACAATATTTATTTTAGCAATTGACTGCAACCATATTATATATAGGCTTCCTTATTTTTGTACTTTTCATACCTGAGTGTGGTGTTGTACTGCTCAGCTCCCCTCGGCCACCACTGCTGCTCCTCAGAGACAATAAACCAGAGAAAACCAACCACCAGCCACTGCTGGGCTCAGTGTCGTGTGTGTGGGGCCCTGCGCTGCCCTGTGCCCCCCAGCCCACCCCAAACCCCTGCTGCTGCCCCTGGCAGTGCCCACGGCCAGGAGGGCACAGGGACACCAGGGACCAAGGGAAGGGGTTGGTGCCTGGCAAGTCAATACCCAGATGAGTTCCCTGCTCCACATCCCACGTCCTGGGGGCACTGGGTGGGTCCCACTGGGGTCCAGAGGGCACAGCAGGATCAGGCCCTGGCAGGGGTGCAAACCCTGCACAGCTCAGGCTTTGATGTGCTGCAAAAAACCCACCTGGGTTTGAGGGACCTGCTCCCTCTGCCCTTAACCAGCTGCCCCTGTTGCTTTCCATGGAATCCACCTTAAGGAGTGGGTACTTCTAATTAAAACCAGGGTTAAGTGCCTAAATACAGTTAATTCTATAAATAAATGCGATGCTGCAGCAGCTGAACAGCTGAAAATGCTTCTGCTCTCTCTGCCAAAGCTGTGACACAACACAAGATCACACTGAGGTGCTGAACCCAGCACAAAAAGCTATTCCCAGCAGGAAAGGACACACATGGACAAATATTCCACTTGAAATCATTTATTGACACGTTGCCATGTTTTTCTATCTTGCTCAGCATATTTTTACCCTTGTTATAAAGTACAAATGGTTTTATATTTTTCTGACATTAAAAAAATAGGCATTAACGAGGCAAAAATTCCCAGTTTAATTCAAAAAGTCCTGCTGTAAGAATTGAAAATTGTAAGAGACAAACAAAAGCCAACAAAGACTGAACAGAGTGTACCATGACACGACTCATCCATCACACCAAGTGGAGAGGAATCTCTCGTTCCCAGCTCTGCCTTTGGATCCTGTGACCTTGCTGAACTGATGTGAAGTTGGTGTTACACATACAACTCAAAAGGCACTGGAAAGTCACAAGTTCCTGAGCTAACATGGGATGTATTCCCAAGGTAACAGCTAAAACAAGCCACAGAAAACGTTTAAAAACTGGTATTTGGTTTGTGTGAGTGGAGTCAGCACAACTCCAGCTGAGAGCTGCTGCTGACAGGACTCAAGTAATGGTGAGGACATTGGAGTACTCACTGTACATGGAAAAATAATTCATTTATGAACATCCTTATTAGTAAATTAA